TGGGAACTCCCAAAATAGCTGCAAGATCCTTGGTTAGTTTTTTGCAACATTGTCACTCTTCCTTCCTAATTCCTGATCCAAAAAATACTTTGTTACCAACTCAACACCTTGGATTTTTACTCCAGAATTTCACAACAGAGAGGGACACCAGAGTGCTTGGAAGTGAAACATCATCCTGTTAATCATCTCCAGCACTAAAACACAGTTCCTTCATATCCACAACCCCCCTCTGTAGCACAGGAATTTTCCCAGTAGGGCTTCATAATTTGGGATTTCCAGATCCCACCACAAAGTGTCTGATTTGCAGAGAAATTCTAATTCAAACCCCTGACACCTCTGTAGGAAAAACAAAGTTTGTTTCCCAAATTCCAAATAATAACAAAAGCAATCAACTAAGGAAGTCATTGCAGGGAGTTCTTTCAATTTAAATACAAAAACTCTTCCTCAGTTTCACTCCCTCACCCCCAATTCTTCCCATCACAGCACAGAATAAAAAGTGGAAGGACATTTTCAATCAAATCTAAATATCTGAAAGTGCTTAATGTTAACACTGACCTTAAAATAAACTTACTTTAAAGAGGGCAGATGGTGCCACTGCTGCTTAATTTCACAGCTTTTGTTTTCAACACCTTCATTTCTTTTCCATTTCCTTCATCTGCATTTGTGAAAAGCTCAGTGGTTGAAGCCTTTGCTTAATGGGACATAAATGCAAATTCCTGCACAAGCAACTAGGTCTGGAAACTACTCTGGAGCCTAAGAATTAAGGGAAAACAGTCAACATTTAATTTGAAAAGTTATTTATTTTGAGAACTTCAGCTTGCACATTGTACAAAAATTTGACAAATTCAACAACAACAACAAAAAAAAATCTATAAAATGCTGTGGGGTGGGGTTTCTTTTCCCTAACATATTAACATAATAGTTTTCCAAAGGGTAAGAGTTAAGAAAACAAAAAATAGGCACATTTGTTCCAGTCTGTCTGCAGTAAAGTGTGATTAAAAACATCCCTGTCTTGCTGAGGTATCGAACTGCAAACTTTTGTAACGGTAGAAAAATACAAAGTGAGCCTTCTCGGTGGCAGGTCCAATACAAAATGGTTCATAGAAAAAGCCAGAATTGGTTATTTTTCATTTCCAGGTAGAAATGCAGCGAAACAAAGGAAAAAAAAAAAAAAAACCAAAACCTTAATTCACCTATCACTAGGAAACCTGATCCTCTGCAAATCCACACTAATCACACACAGCTACAGTGTCCCGTGTTACCAAAGGTCTGGCTGGCAAGTTAAAAACAATTCAGTGCTTATGAAAAAAGGAAAAAAAAGATCTATATGGTGATTCAGAGCCCAGTCTTCCAGCAAAGGACAAAAGGCACTTAAGGATGGCTTTAGGATATTCCACAATGGCATTTCGGGATAGAGGACAGCGCCTGGCTGAACAAATCCTTCCCTACAACAAGTCCAGTGAGGTAGTACTTCATATTGCTCCAGCTACTTGGCTCTAAGCAAGCAGCTTCATGGTTTTGATAATATAAAATTAGCAGGAAATGGCTTTTTGTCAAACTTATAAAACCCCAGTTCTTATAAAAAAAAAAAAATAGCAAATACCCACTTGTGGTACAAAGCCAGGAACCATCTTGTACAAATTTGGAGTATCAAAATGCTGCCAAGGTGATGCACGAGTCTACCTTGATGGCCAAATCCCCAGACAGTGAAGATTGTT